GGGATGAAGGATCTGCGCCAGCAGGTCAAGGGATCTGCATTGAAGCCTAAAAGCTACACTCAGCATAAGGACCTAGCTCCCCCGAAGAAAGCCGCAGCCATCCTCAGCAACCATGAGGATCTGAGCTCCTCCAATGATGAGAACAGCGGGGTTCATATCAGGAAAACTAGCTGACAAACTCCTACAGGAGAATCAACAGTGCACCATCTTCCCCTTCACTTTGCCTTTTATGCTGTTGGCAACAATCCTCAGGTGGGCCCTCCACATCTAGCACCACACTGATTCAGTTCAGCTGGGTGTTACAAGGTGCCCATTAGTTAATTCACTACACCTGCCTACAGGGCCCTGTCACTCTAGCAGCAGCAGCCGCAGCAGGATTATCCTTATTATTATTGTTATATTACTTGGGATTGAACCCAAGACCTTGAGCATGCTAAGTTTGCACTTTGCCCCTGAATTATACCTCCACCCTCAATTTCTTTTTTAATTATGCATATGGATTACTTGTAATAAGGGAAAACAATCAATTATTTAAAAAAAAAACTAGTTGCCTATGAGAAATGTAAGTGCTAGAACACAAAATATATTTTTCTCATGAATTTTCATTGAGTGGATGTTGTGTAAATCTATGTTATATAGATAGAGTTCCTTAGTCTGTTTCTTCATGACACTCAGTGCAGGATACTGGCTTCATACCAAAGTGCAGCAACAGTAAATATGAAAAAATGGAGGGGTACAGTTTTTGGCAGAGGAACTATAATCTAGAGTTCACATAGCACATTTATGTGATGAGTTAATTTAGTCTGGTTGACATAATTTGGAATTTAAATATTCCCCCAAGACTCATATATTAAAGGAGAGGTCCCTGGGCTGGGGCTGTTGCTCAGTGGTACAGCAGGTGCCTAGCATGTGGAAGGCCCCAGATTCAGTTCCTAGCACCACAAAACAGTATCTCCCCCAAACACACAAGACCCAATCCTCAGCTTTATGCTATTAGGAAGTGGTGGAACTATCAAGACAAGGGATCTTAAGAGAGATCTTTTGGTTACTGGGGACATGTCTTTTTTTGGGAGGGGAACACATCTTTGAAGGAGATATTGGGACCCCAACACCTCCTATTTCTCTCTCTTAAGTCCAGGCCAAGCAAGGGTTGATGACACATACCTATAGTCCTAGCACTTGGGAGGCTGAGGCAGAATTGCCACAAATTCAGACTCAGATTATATAGCAAGATCCTTAAAAAAAAAAATCCAGGACATGAGCTAAAATAAAATTTTCCTCTTCAGAAATTGATTATCGCAATATTTTGTTACAGTAACAGAAATCTGACCAAACACACTGGGTTTTGTAAATGTGTTTTGGATGGGTCTTTTCACAAATTTCCTAAAATATCTGCAAAACCATCTTGGTCCAGTGGAATACACTTGTAATTCCAGCTACTCAGGAGACTAAGGCAAGAGGATCACAAATTACAGCTCAGCCTGGGCTACATAATAAGACACTATTTCAAAGAACAAAAACAAACAAACAAAAAACCAAAGTCTAGACATGGTAGTACACAACTGTAATTTGAGCATCTCTGAAAAGTTAAGCCAGGAGTATCTCAAGTCTGAGCCAAGTTTGGAAAACTTAAGTGACTTAATGAGACCCTGACTCAACATAAAAAAAATTTAAAAATGGGTAGGGAATGGGGCTCAGTGCAACGCTTTGGGTTCAGTTCCCAATAGTACACCAAAAAAGAATACAGTATATGTGCGTTCCCTTAAAAGGATCCCCTGACTTCATCAGATTAATTCATTAGAGTATTGGTTTTATTTTTTATTTTTTTTTGTCTTTTTCATTTTTATCGGTACCGGGGATCGAACTCACAACTGCCTGCTAGCAAGGCAGGTGCTTATGCCGCTGAGCTAAATCCCCAGCCCTGGTTTGTTTTGTTTTGATGTGGTTTTGTGAGGTTAAAATCTCACCACATAGCTCAGGTTGGCCTTGAACTCACTATTGTAGCTCAGGCTGGCTTCAAACTTGCAGTGATCCTTTTGACTCATTCTCCTGAGTGCTGGAATTACAGGCATGTGCATCACCATGCCCAGCTAGTGTTTCTGGCTTTTTTTTTTTTTTTAATAAATGGGGTCTTGCTGTGTTGCCCAGGCTGACCTTGAATAGTGATTCTGAATTTAAAAAATGAAAGAATCAATGCTGTATAACAAGGTTTCTTTACTTAGGCACTATTGTCTCTTTGACCTGGATAAATCTTTGTTATGTGAGTGAGGACGTCCTCTGCATTTTAGGTTATTTAATAACATCCTTGGCTTTTGCCTATGGAGATCAGAAGCATCATTATTTGTGACAACCAAAGAAGTCTGACATGACTGAATGTCCCCTGTGGGACAGAGACCACCCTTGGAGAACTCCTGATCTTGGAAGAATGAAGGAACAAAATGTTAAACAGGCGAGAGATAAAGATTAAACCAGTCCTAGATGCAAACTGCAGCTCTATCGTTATGATCTTGAGTAAATTATCTTATTTCAGCCTTACCCAGGAAACTGGATAATGTTTCTTATGTGTAAATCGATGGTCTGATACCTACCTATAGGGTTTTTTTTAAAGGTCAAATATAATAAAGCATGCAAAGCACTTTGCAGAATATCTTATATGATAAGCAATCAATATATGATAGCTACTAATATTGTCCTGATCATAGGTGAGAATGTAAGCATCTCCTCATGTCCTTTACTTATTCATTCAAAAGATATTTATTGGCTGATGTCTGTGTGTGGCACGTCTTAATGAGCTCTACCTAAATTACTCTTCTTCGGTAGGATGGCCTCAAGTTGGAGGCCAGCCTGGACAATACAGCAAGACCCTGTCTGAAACAATCCATCCTCTTTAACTCTCTAGGTGATAGGTACCATATCCTGTGTTTATTCTTTGTAAATAGCGCTTTTAATATGAACACATTATTTCATCCTATTTTTATTCTTGATCCTCCCTTCTGAGATCTAGAAGCACATATATTACCTAGATAGCCTCCTAGGAAACTTTAAATTATATGTTTTACCAATAAGCCTAGTGTCTAGCACCTATTAAATCTTCTATAAAGATGTTATTCTTGGTCATCAGTGTTATTTGCTTATTTATTTACTGGCCCCTGCTGTCTGATTATTTCCTTTTGCTATTCCTTAGTAGGTTCCCCAAATCACTTATTTCCTGGAAGCATCCTTGGCCCTGGGATAAAGGCCTGATTAGACATCCCTGTGGGGAGCCCAGAGGAGAATCCAGCCTGGTTCTTTTACCTGCAGGGAAGAACTGAAGTGATAAAAATGAAGACACTGCCATACCAAGTTCATGGTACCCCAAACAATCAGTTTAGTGTTGGCAATTTGCTACCAGTATTCAGAACACTGAAATTCTCTTACAGCAGCCTCCCTGATCATGCCACTAACTAATTCCTGGGGACTGGCTAGTGCTTCCTGACACCACAGAGATATGTTCAGAGAAGTAAGATTTGTGTTATTAGAACAATTACAGCAACAGAGTCTGCTAAATTCTCCAGAATTTAGTTACATTTCCTGAAGCTACAATAGGGAAAATTTGGAAGACTCAACCACTGAAGCACACAAAGGTAAACAAGCTCTGATGAAATAGACCAGATTCCAGTCCTACTTTGCCTCTCCCTATCTGAGTGACAGCAAGAAGTTTTACCGTGGTGATCCTGTTTCGTGTCTGTAGGAAGCCTCACAGTTATGGAATGCTCATTGCTCAGTCAAAACACATGGATCGTCTTCATTCCACCATACATGGCTTCAGGACACCCAGGAGTTGGATGTCAGCCTGGGCAACAGTGTATTTCAAATCAACAACAAATCAATAAATCGATAAAGAGTTTATTGATTTTTTTTTTTTTTTTGTTGTTGTTGTTCTTTTTGAGACAGGTTCTGGCTACGCAGTTCAGGCTGGCCTTGGGCTCACTTTGTAGCCCAGGCTGGTCTCGAATTTGCCACAACCCGCCTGCCTCAGCCTCCCAAGTGCTGAGATTATACGAGTGCACCTGGCGTTGATTTTTTTAAATACAGAAAAGTGTAATTTCCATACATACACAATAACCTTTGAAGACTTTTTAAAAACGAATAACACATCTATATGGTGCAAAACCAGAAATCATACAAAGTGAAAAATGCTTTATATATATTCTATATATTTTTTATTATTTATTTTGAGACAAGGTCTCGCTATTTAGTTCAGGTTGGCCTCATTAAGTAGCCCAGGCTGGCCTCGAACTCTTGGTGATCCTCTTGCCAGTTTTCCCACTGTTAGGATCATAGGCCTGTTCCAGCACTCTTAGCCTAAACTGGCGTATGTATTAAACGCACCTAAATTCCTCAACTTATCTCACTAAAGAGGTACAATCATTATCCCCCACCCTTTGGTAATAGTATTCTAAAAAGAGTAGCAAAAGGATTGAGCAGGAAAGTGCTGGTAACCTCTCAGGCCTCCACAAGTGTTTCAGAAGTTTGAGAAAAAGTCAATGTGTATAATTATGCGCCAAATAGGAATATCTACCGAGTGTCCGACAATAACTAAGTGCCAAGCAGTGATATCTGCCGGGTGTCCAGCACGCTATTTCCTGGGGTACCGCACTCGTGTACTTTCTCGGAACTGTAATTCCCCAGATCTGGGGTCCGGGGAACAGGTTCTTCGTGGTTTCCCAGGAAAGGCGCGCGGGACTCCGTCGCCTCCACCAATCTTGCTAGAGTAGGCGTACCCTTAGGAACAAAAGCTTCAGAGTGACTAGCGCCATAGCCACTTAATGCCGAGCACCAGCCCGCGCCTCTCTGTAGTGTGGAATTTCCAATTGGTGAAGTAGCCCTAAAGAGAGCGAACGGATTAAGTCCCGCCTGTTTTACTGTTATCAGCCAATCACATGTTTGGGAAAGATCTTTCGGTTAGGTTGTGCCGTGTGTGGAGTTCTTGGAGGCCTGAGGGCGGGGCGGGGAGGCGGCCAGGAGCAGCCGGGAGGGGACAATTCCCGGGGGCGCGCGGAGCTAGGACGGTGACAGCCACCCGCGCGCGTGCGCGTCTGGCTACGGCGCAGCCGCATGACCCCGGCCGGCCGCTTAGAGGCGCCCCAAGTCTGGGTCGCCGCCGTCTAGGGTCTCCGTTCCGGGACGTCCCGGGCGTCCTAGACCCGAGTCCCGGAGCGCAGGGCCGCGCCCTCCCCGTCTGCCCCAGTTAGTTTTCCTCCGCGCCACTGTCAAGGCCTGCCCCCAACTCTCCTTTCCTGGGACAGGGTCCTCGCGGCCCATGCTGGCCGCTGGGGACCCACGCAACCCAGACCGCTCTTGGGCCGGCCAGCCGGCCACCATGGTGGTCCTGAGGCCTGTGCTGCTCTTTCAGGGGGGCTAACAGGTCCAGAGTGTAGGCCTCGGGGCGAAAGGGTCCCGGGCCTGAGCCTCACACCATGGCTGGGGCCATCGCTTCCCGCATGAGCTTCAGCTCACTCAAGAGGAAGCAGCCCAAGACGTTCACGGTGCGGATCGTCACCATGGACGCCGAGATGGAGTTCAATTGCGAGGTAACCGGTTGGCAGCCCCGACGGGCTGTGGCAAGGAGAGCCCGATGGAATTCTGGCCCGCCTGACCCAGGCGCGCAAACGGAACCCACTCGGCACCTACTCGGGCGCTCGAGCCTTGGTGACAGTCGAGGTGGAAGCTTGAGGAATTCTGTTTATACGGTACCCTGGGCATGGATAGAGACCGTTGGAACCGGAAGGGGCCATCTAGGCCCTAACTCACAAGTTACAGCTAGTTACTGCCGTTTCACGTGGGGTTCTCGGGTTTAACACTTTGGGAGGGTTGTTTTCATTCATCGGTGTTGGAAGAGACTGGAGGGTTCCTTGGTAGCGAATTTTGCTTTACAGTGTCAGGTTTAAGCTTAATTTCTAGGGAGTTTTTCGTTAGGTAATGTTATGTACCGCAAATAGTATGTCTCATTTAATGAAAAGTTTTTACTTGTTTCCATTTTCCAAAGTTTGAAGTTTTCTGCGGAGGGGAAAAAAAAAAACTGAGGAAAGAGATCTTACCTTATACAATTTTCAACATGATAATAGCTATGGTTTGTTCAGTATTTTGTGTTTAATGGTCACACATTTAATCCTTACAACAACCCAGTAGGATAGGTGCCTGTGACACTGTAGAATATGTATTTAATCTGGTCTCCTGGCATGCAATTTATATTATCCTTGGAATCTGCAAAGTGGTGTCTTTTTGTGTGCTAATGAATCGACCTCTGCAGGTGGACCTTAGGTAGGTTTTGGATGGAGGTTGATAACAAAGATCAAGATTTGATTAAAGGTTGGGATTTTTTCAGCTCTACCATTAACCTGGAGGAGAGAAGAGGGACTGACGGGTAATCTGATAAAAAATGGCCAGTGATTTAATTAATCATGCCTATGTAATGAGATTCAGTAAAAAACCCCAAAGACAAGAGTTTAAAGAGCTACCAGATAGCCAAACCTGTGAAGGTTCCTGTAGGATTGGAGCCCTAAGGGGAGGGCATGGAAATTCATTGTCTCTGCCCATTAATCCTTGCCTCATACATCTTTTCATCTGTGGCCCTTGTGATGTATCTTTTGAAATGCATATATGTAAGTGTTTCCCTTAGTTTCTGTGAGGTGCTATATGGTAAACTGAAAAATGAGGGTTGTGGGAACCCAATTTTAGTTGGTTGATCAGAAGTACAGGTAAATAAGGCTTGTGATTGGCATCAGAAATGGCGGCAGTCTTGTGGACTAAGCCCTCTACCCGTGCGATCTTTCATTACCTCTAGATAGATCATGTCAGAATTGAGTTGAATTAGCATATACCCAGATCTTTGGAGAAAAGGCTTGATTGGTTGCTTGTGGGGAGGAATCCCTACACGTTTTGTGGCTCCTGTGTTCATTTTTGCATGTATAGAAAAAAAGACCTTTTATTTTTTTCATATGTCCACAAAGTGCCTCAAAGATTTTGGTTTTTGGATCAAGATCTTAGCCAGTGTAGTACTACCTTTCAAGTAATTTGCTACTTGGAACTCAAAGTGTGGTTCATGGAACAGCAGAATTAGCAGTAATAATCTAAATCAGCAGTTGGCGAACATATTTATAGGTCTTATAGTCAATCTTTCCAGCTTTGCAGGCCATAGACAATGATGTGGAACCTTTTAGAACTTTCAATGATACAAACCGCCTGCTGCAGCACATGTCATAGGTTTGCCAACCACTGCCATAGTTATCTCCATTGGAACTACTCAGCAGTTCAACTCTGCTGTTACAGCGCAATCCTTAGACAGGATTGATTTGCCGGATGATTGTATGAGGAGATCCACTGACTCATTTTCCTGTAAAACTTGTGAAAATTATTATTATTATTTGCAATCCTGGAGATTAAACCCTAGAGTGCTAGTTAGATTCTTGGGTCTTTTTTGTTGTTGGTGGAGGTGTTTTCTTTTTTTCTTTTTGGTTGGTGTCTTTTTTTGAGACAAGGTCTTGTGTAGTTCAGGCTGGCCTTGAACTCACATGGGCTAGCCTTAGACTCATGGTGATCCTCCTGTTTCAGCTTCCTGACTGCTGGGATTATAGGTGTATTCTACAATGCACTGCAGCTCTTTATTTTTGAGATAGTTTTAAATTTCTTGGCTTGGGTTTGAATTTGTAATTCTCCCGCCTCAGCCTCTTAGGTAGTTAGGATGCCACTACAGTAACTATGAATGTATTAAAAATAAAAACAAAAACAAATGGGACATAGCACAAACCTATAATCCCAGCATTTGAAAGGCTGAGGCAGGAAGACCACTGTGAATTCAGTGCCAGCCTGGACTACATAGTATCTCAAAAAACAAATAAACAAAATGTGAAAATTTGATAAGGAGAGGTACTCTTTCCCTCCCTAATCAGCAACCCAGGCACCCTCTCCTTCACTTGCCAATCATATGGCTATTTTCTCAGGAGGGGCTGGACATTAGTGTTTCTCTTCCTACTCAGAGCTACTTGTTGCTGATACTAATTTCTGAATGATAAATGAGGTACTTTTTTTTTTCAGTCTTCACACTGAACTACATCCCAGCCCCATTTTATTTATTTATTTATTTTTAGGCAAGGTCTTGTGAGTAGCCCAGGCTGGGCTAGAATTTGTGATCTTGTTGTCTCAGTCTCTGTGTGCTGGGATTAAGGGCATGTACAACTACACCTGACTCACAGGCTCTCTTTTAAGACATAAAATATGGTTAGAGATAAGTTTCTTATCCCAAGAACCATCACCTCCCTTCTCAGTTTCTTTCTTTTTTGTGGTACTGAGGATTGAATCCAAGGCTTTTGTGCTGAACTGTATTTCCAGACCATTTATTTATTTATTTATTTATTTATTTATTTATTTATTTATTTATTTATTTATTTATTGAGACAGGTTCTCAAGTTCATGCAGTTCAGGCTGGCTTTGAACTCAATATGACTCCAGGCTGGTTTTGAACTCCCAGCTATCTTCCTTTGGCCTTCCAAATGCTGGGATTATAGATGTGAGCCACTATGCCTGAATTTTTTTTTTTTTTTAAAATTTTGAGACAGTGTCTCACTGAGTTGCTAAATTGCCCAGGTTAGACTCTAATTTGTGATCCTTCTACCTCAGCCTCCCAAAGTGCTGCAACTATAGGCATGCATTACTAGTGCTAATAAGGTACTCTTCTTCCACCCAGTCCCTACTTGTGGAAGAGGGTAAGACACACTGAAATAACTTATGCTCTTACTGCTCTCTGACAGCCACAGCAAGAGGCAAACTGAGACCTCAGGCTAGTGTGTTTGTGTGTCCCTGGGGTGCTCTGTCCTAGAGTGGAGGTGTTACAGGGATAACCTCCAAATATGCTATAAGAAAAATATTGTGTCTGCAAGCAGTTAGGTCTGACATGCCGAGTTTGTGTTGTCATGGTCCCCTTTTCTATTCCCAGAGCCCCTGGCTCAGAGTCGTGTGCCCCCCCACCCCCGCGCCCAGTACTGGGGATTGAGTCCAGAGAGCACTAAGCTACACATCCCCAAAATTTAAATTTTCATTTTGAGCCAGGGGTTTAGCTCAGTGCTGTAAGCACCTGCTTGGCAAATGTGAGGTTGTGAGTTTGATCCCTGGTACAAAAAAAAATTTTTTTTTATTTTGAGACAGTGTCTTGCTAAATTGCCCAGGTTGATTTCAAATTTGCAATCCTTCTGCCTCAGCTTCTGGAATAGCTGGATTACAGGTGTCTACCACCACTCCTAGCTGGGTCAAGAATTTTACTCAAGAAAAGAAGCAAATGATATGTCTTGGAGATGGGGCATTAGTCCCTAGTGTCGCTATAGTACATTATCTGTAATGTCTAGTTTCTGTTTGTATGATGATGCATGCTTTCAGGAGCCTGAGGCAGAAGGAGCATTGCAAGTTTGAGAACAGTCTCAGCTACAAAATGAGTTCAAGGCCAGCCTGAACTATATTTTAAAAAAGTAAAAAATCCTGTAAAGGAGCTCAGTTGTAGATTTAACTTATAGAAGGCTTAGTGTCTTGGTTACTTTTCTTTCATTGCTGAGGCAAAATACCTGATGCCCAAAATTAGGGATGGAAAGGTTTGTTTATCTTACAGTTTTTGGAGGTCTCAGTCCGTACTCAGCTGGCTCCAAGGCAGGGTGGCTGGCTGAGGGGCAACCATTCATGGCAGCCACAAACAGCAAGAGTGAACAAGGCAAAAGAGAGAAGACACACCTTCTTCCTGCCCCTACACTGTATGTTGGTTCCACCCTTGGGCTCACACCCTTACACCACCAATCCCAGTGCTAGACAATGAACCAATCACGAGTGGTAGATTCAGCTACGTCCATGATTGCATAAAGCTTGGGAGGGCCATCTGAACACAAACCATAACACTTAGTGAATGTGAAAATAGATTGATAAGAGATTATATAAGCAGATGAATAGGGCAGAAATAATAAGAAGGAGCAAAACCAGTGTCTTTACAATAGGAGTAGTAGAGGGGAAAATACTTTAAAAAATTACATCTGACACTTTCTAATTTTTTGAAAATAGTAATTCAGAAGACTCATATTCAGAAAACTCAATCAACTTCAAGTAAGGTAAATATAAAGAGGACCACAAAAAGACACTGTAGTAAAAATACCAAAAGTGAGCAACAAGAAAAAAAATCTTGAAACCATAAAGAGCAAAGCAGACTCATCACTTAGAAAGGAACCCTAATATGATTAACAGCTGACTTCTCAGTAGAAACTGGAGGCCAGAGACAGTGGGACAACATACACAAAGTTACCAGGAGTCAGGTATGATGCTATGGGCCTGGACTCCTAGCTGCTAGGGAGGTTGAGGCATGATGAATCACAGGTTTCCAGGCAGCCTAGGCAACATAAGTAATGCCTTACTCAAAACAGTAACAAAATAAAACAAAAAAGTGCTCCAACAAAAAGAATACCCCACTTTGTGGTGGAAGCCTGTTATGGATAAGATTCCTGAGGCTGAGATAGGAAGATTATAACTGGGCGACTCTGAAGCCAACCTGGACAATTTAGCA